TATTTATGTAATTTGTATACTATAATTATATAAATTACATATTTGTATAATCCTGTACCAACTTGCTGGATACAGTTTTAGTGCATTGGGGATATGTGGTTTCTTAGTTTCTGATCTGATGGACTTTCCTTTTCAGCTGTACTGGAATCTCTTGGGTGCAACTATAAAGAGTTTGGAGAAAGGATATTCATTCCTTTTGAATTTATTCAGAGGCAATAAAAAATGATGTTCAAGTTTTGGCATCAAGAATTTTACCCCATTTCAAAATCACAGAAATTCATGACTTATCTTTAAAATTAACAACTCAGATGAATTTTTTCTATCTGAAAATGTGGATTCCAGAGAAATGTTTTTATATTAATTCTTTAAAATGAATACTGTATTAGTCGCATACTTTCTGGAAAGATGTCTTATCAAAAAACATTTCACTCATTTGCCACTGAGAAAATGTACGTATACACATGATAAAAGGAAATCCAGCCCATGGAGAAAAAAGAGAGAAGAATTACAGAAAACAGTTACACAAAGGCAAAACATTGACAGAAAAGAGTATGCTAGCAGATTATTTTCTTCTTTTGGTGCAAAAGACATATTAAATCTCATTGTTTGGATGCACTTATTTTTTCATCCACAAAACTTCTGTTGAGCACCATCATGTGCAAGGCACTGTGCTAAGCACCATAGATGTGATGTAAGATAGAGTCTCTACCCTTGAGTTGCTCACAATCAAGTCAGGAAGAAAAGTATATTAATTAAGACACAAGTGTTATAATATCAATTTATATACATGTCTTAGGAGCATACAGGCTACAGCCTTTAATTCTGATTAGTTAGTGTTTAAGGGTAAAGGGATGAGTACAAAGAAGGTGAGGTTTTAGCCTAGGTTAAAGTGTAGACCAAACCACACGATCATCTCAACTGATACAGAAAAGCCTTTGACAAAATCCAACATCCTTTTATGATTAAAAAAAAAAATTCAGTTAATGAAGAATAGAAGAGAACTTCCTCAACATGGAAAAGGCCATATATGAAAAACCCACAATTAACATTATATTCAATAGTGAAAGATTGAAAGCTCTTCCCCTAAGACCAGGAACCAGACACAGATGCCTGCTTTCATCTACCTTCTAAGTACTAGAAGTTAGAGCCAGGACAATTAGGCAAGGCGAAAAAAAGTTATCCAAATTAGAAGGAAGAAGTAAAATTATCTCTATTTGCAAATATAATCTTATAGTTAGAAAAACCTAAAGAATCCATTTACAAAAAACTATTAGAGGGACAGGCCCGGTGGCATAGTAGTTAAGTTCACGTGCTCTGCTTCAGTGGCCCAGGGGTCACAGGTCCAGATCTCGCGCATGGACCTATGCACTGCTTATCAAGCCGTGCTGTGGCAGGCATCCACATACAAAGTAGAGGTAGATGGGCATGGATATTAGCCCAGGGTCAATCTTCCTCAGCAAAAAGAGGAGGATTGGCAAAAGATGTTAGCTCAGGGCTAATCGTCCTCACACACACACACACAAAAACTATTAGAGCAAATAAATGAATTCAGCAAATTTTCAGGATACAAAATCAACATGCAAAAATCAGTTGCATTTCTATGTACTAGCAATGAACATCCAAAATGAAATTAGACTGGAAAAAAAAAATCCATTTAGAATAGCAAACAAGGGAACAAGATACTTAGAAATAAATTCAACAAAGAAGGCACATGACTTATACACTAAAAACTACAAGAAAATTGAAAAGAAATTAACTGAAAGAAATTAAAGACCTAAATAAATGAAAAGATATCCCTTGTGCATGGATTGAAAGACTTAATATCGGTAAAATATAATACTATCATAGCAATATACAATTCAACGCAATCCCTGTCAAAATTCCAAGGACTTTTTTTGCAAAATGGAAAAACCCATCCTTAAATTCATATAGAATCTCAAGTGACCCTGAATAACCAAAACAATATTGAAAAAGAACAGAGATGGAGATTTCACATTTAATGATTTTAAAACTAGTTACAAAGCACAGTAATCAAAACAGTGTGGTACTGACATAAAGATAGACATATAGATCAATGGAACAGAATTTAGTGTCTAGAAATAACCCTCATATTTATGGTGAACTGATTTTTACAAGGGTGCCAAGATTATTCAATGAAGAAAGAACAGTCTCTTCAACAATGGTGCTGGAAAAACTGGACATCCACATGCAAAAGAATGAAACTGTATCTCACAACATAAAGAAAAAATTAACTCAAAATGGATTAAAGACCTAAACATAAGACCTAAGACTATAGAACTCTTAGAAGAACACATAGGGACAAACCTATATGACCTTAGATTTGGCAATGGTTTCTTAAATATGACACTAAAAACACAGACAACAAAAGAAAAAAATAGACAAATTTGACTTGATTAAAATTAAAAACTTTGGTGCACCAAATGACACTATCAAGAGACTGAAAAAACCCACAGAATGGAAGAAAATATTTGCAACTCATATATCTGATAAGGGTTTCATATCCAGAACATATCAATAACTCCTGCAACTCAAAAAAATAGTCAAAACAACCCAATTTTAAAAAGGGGCAAAGGACTTCAAAGAGACACTTCTTTAAAGAAGAAACACAATTGGCCAATAAGCACATGAAAAGATGCTCACATTAGTCAAATGCAAATGCAAAGCAAAATGAAATACAACTTTACACCTATTAAAATGCTTATAATTTTTAAAAATGGAAAATAAATGTTGGCAAGGATGTGGATAACTTGGAACCCTTGTACAGTACTGGTGGAAATGTAAAGTGCTGTAACTGCTGTGGAAACAATTTGGCTCCTCAAAAAGTTAAATGTAGAATTACCAAGGATCCAGCAATTCTACTCTTAGACCCAAAGGATTGAAAACGGGTGTTCAGATACTTGTTCACCAGTGTTCATAACAGCATTATTCACAATAACCAAAAAGCGGAAACAACCCAAGTGTTCATCAGTAGATGAATAAATAAATATACATCTCATGTATATACATACAATGATATATTATTCAGTCACATAAAAGAATGAAATTCTGCTACAACATGGATGAATCTTGAAAACAGCATGCAGTAAAATAAGCCAGGCACAAAAGAACAAATATTATGATTCCATTTACATGAAATATCCAGAATAAGCAAATTCATAGAAATGGAAAATACAGTAGAGGTTACCAGGGACTGGAGGAAGGGGAGAATGGAGAGCTATTGCTTAATGGGTCTAGTGTTTCTGTTTGGGGTGACGAAAAATTTTGGAAATAGTGGTGACAGTTGCACAACATTGTAAATGTAAGTAGTGCCACTGAATGGTAAAATTAGCCATGGTTAAAATGGCAAATTTTATGTTATATTGTATATATATGGGGGGGAGAGAGAGAGAGAGAGAGGGAGGGAGGGAGGGAGGGAAAGAGAATCACAAGAAAAAAATAGCAAAAAAAACCCAAAGTGCAGAAGAGCATACATGGTAAATTATCTTTGGTGTTTGTATTTCCATAAAGAAACACTGGAGGAATATATAAGAAAATAATATAAATGGCTACTTATAGGTAACATGAATATTCAGCCCACACACACTAATCAGCTTGTCCTGGTTAAAATATAGAAATACTCTGTCCTGGTTGGTAAGTGACCACTCCCCAATTTCCTGAATTCCCTCTACCTCTGCCCTCATCCCGGGATTCCTGATTGCCCCCTTATCTGGCGAGTATAAAGAGTTAACCCTGGCAGGGCAGGGGTCTGGCAGGCCAACACAGAATGAAGTGGGACGGTAACAGGGTGAAAGGGAGACTTTGCATACTATACCTTTTAATATCCTTTTGATTTTTTTTTTTTTTTTTTTTTGGTGAGGAAGATTAGCGCTGAGCTAACATCTGTTGCCAATCCTCCTCTTTTTGCTGAGGAAGATTGGCCCTGGGCTAACATCCATGCCCATCTTCTTCTACTTTATATGTGGGATGCCTGCCACAGCATGGGTTGATAAGCTGTGCATATGTCCACTCCCGGGATCCGAACCTGTGAACCCTTGGCTGACGAAGCGGAGCGCACAAACTTAACCACTATGCCACCAACCTGGCCCCTCCTTTTGATTTTTGAACCATGTAAATATACTACCTATTTACTATAATAAAATATGAAAACTAAAAAAAAAGAAAAAGAAGAATACACCAGCTGGAAAAGACAGTTAAGAGAATTTGAGCAAAACAAATGTGTACTTGTAAGCCATAGTGGTACAAAGAACAAGAGGGCTCAGGGAATTGCAAGTCTTCTAGACAAGCTTAAACATAGAGAGGGGAGAATAGGAGATGAAGGTAGATAGGTAAATTTAGGTCGGATATTAAAGAACCTCTGTATGGCATTAATTAATTTGAACTATTTCTATAGCACTGATAAACTATTTAGGGTTTTTTTGTTTGTTTAATCAAGGGAATTACTTGAACAGATTTGTGTGTTAAAAAAATAATTCTGACAACTCTGTGGAGAATGGACTCAAGAGGAGAGAAATTAGGAGTGGGAGGGCTGGCATAATGAGGAAAGAGGTAATGAGATGGAAATGAGCAGTCATGGCCAAAAGATACTGAAGAAGAACGGTCTAACGGTCTTGCGGAAAAATAATTAGCTTGGGGGTTGACAATAAAAAAAAAAGGAGGAACAAAAGATGACTTGAAGAATTCTAGCTTAGTTGACTAAAGAAGTAGATTTTGACCTTTAATGGGGGAATTCTAAATGGGAATTATTCAGAATTTTGATTATGTGAAATGTGAATATATTGAGATGCCAAAGATAAAGCATGACATAATGTGGATTTCAAATAAAAAGTTACTATGAAAATGATAATGACTTTTCCATTTTATTTAGGAATGACTTACTAAGAGGAAATATGCTAAATTTTACAGGAAAAAAAGTGTATTTTTATACACGAATGAAGGTCTAAACCCAAAGAGTAATATTGGAATATGATACAATGACTGTTTTGTGCTGATTTTTATAAACAGATTTCTTTTTGATTGTGATAGCTTAGCTGTTAGACATGTAGAAAAATGACCTCTAGGTACAGTCACTAATTCCAGGATTTATATTTTTATAGAGAAAATAAATCATATAATTTCTAATATTGCCATCTAACATTTTCCCCAATAAATGTATTTCCAAAATACCATGGTATTCTTCAGGGGAAGACATTGTTTCATCAGAATGGAAATTAGGATGAACAAGAGAAGTTTCATAAAATCCTTATGACCAAAATGGTTTTTTAGATGATTTGTTCAAGCATTCTTCTCTTAATTATACATCTACCTCTAGCTTCCCCTGTCTCTCCCTCCACAGCTAAACTTTTCAAGTAGTCTATCTTCATATTCTTCATTATCTTTACCTTACATTTATGCCTCAATCCACTTTATATGCCCAATTTCTGTAAGTGAAGTGGCTGTTGCTAAGGCCACAGAACCCCACACATGACTAAATCATCTCATGTGAACTTTCTGTTGCATTGGCATGCTTCCATAATCCATCCTTCTTGAAATATTCTCTTTCCTTGGCCTCTATGACACTACACATTCCTGGTTTCCTTTATCCTTCTATGATAATTTCTTCCCAACATCCTTTTCTGGCTTATTCTCCTCTACCCAGCCATTAACTGTTGAATTTCTCAGGAGTTAGTCACAGTGCCTCCTCTCTTCTCACTCTACTCTCTTCCAGAAGTGCTCACCCAATCTATGACTTCAATTTCAACTATATGTCAATGATCCCCACCCCCCACCTTCTATTTCAAATCTCTAGGCTAGAAATTCCTTTAGACTGCAAGCACAAATAACCAAATGTTTCCTTAACGTCTCAATGTGGATGTCTCAAATATGCCTCAAACTAACCATGTCCAAATAATCACACTCTTAATCACTCCCATCGAAGATGATTCTCTTCCAATGTTCCTATCTTAATGAAATTATCATTCATCCAAGTGCACAAGTTAGAAATGTAGTAACATTCTTAACATTTACCTTTTATTAAATCCTCATATCCATTTCTTCACCAAAGACTGTCAATTATTTCTTCCTAAGTATCTCTTACATCTCTGTACTTCTTTCTGTCTGTACTGTCAAAACCCTAGTCCAATCTACCAACATCTCTCTCCTGGATTGTTATTAAAACTTTGTCACTATTCCATATACAATGTTGCCCTCTATAATCTGAAAAATGTATTGGAAAGTTTTTAGTCTTCAAATCTGTGAAGGAAGCATAGTGAAGTCTTAAGTTAGTTTCCAAAGTGTCTGTAGAAATGATCATAATTATTCAAATACACAACAGAAACCTCTATCTACATTACACATTATCATTAATAAATACCATCTCTTGTTTGTTAGAGTCAGTAGTTTGAGAAGTGGTAGAGAAAAAGATGAATGACAAGCGCCATGTCCATTCTGCTACATCTTCAGCTCTGTATCTGACCTTTCAAAACCAGAGTATCAGATCTGACTTTTCTCATTCAGTCTTTTCCAGATTATTCTGGGGTCATCTGAGAGCCTGGGAAGGCCTTGATGTATTTCTCCAATAAGGGTAAGAAAGTCTTTAGTGTGAAGATGTTCATCTATTTTCTCTTGGAGTAGAAATGACTCCAGAAAAGTCTTCTTTTGTTTCAGGAAGGCAGATTGGGCCAGTTCTGCTCTTTTTCTGTTACAATTGGGACACCGAGAAGAAATGTGTTGCTTAGCTGTCGCCACCTGTTTTGGTGTTGTCCTCATGTTTTTAAAATAGATTCTGTTCAAAAGCTCATCAGGGACAGTACAGTTTAAGGCATCTCTCTCTGAAGCCTCTGCATCCAATCTAAACTGCAGCTTTTTATGTCTGCTGCTCTTTTTCTCCTTCGAGTTCGCTCTATGATGGATCAGGTTTATTTTAATGGTGCAAAAAGACTGCAGGGCATTCAGTTCTTCATCAGATGCCCGAGTGATTTCTGTTTGAAGTTTAGTGTCTGGTTGGTACTGTTCAGAGTTAGTTTCTTTGCCCTTGAGGTAGTTGATCCACTTTCTACTGAACTTCTTTTCATAACTTTTGTAGTCCGAAAGCTCAGATTGTTTGTCTCGATATTCCAAGCATGTAGTGGGCTTTCCACCCTCAGGGTTGCTCCCAGAGGAATGGGGCCAGGGGTGCAGTCCTCCAGAAGAGCTGAATGAACCAGAACTCCGTACGTCATCAGTAACGGACTTGAAGGTCTCGTCAGAAAGGTCGGCCATAGCCCTGACGTCCGTTTGGGCCAATTCCCCTTGCTCTTCGGAATCCCCGGGCTTCTAGGTGGATGGCCATCACATTGCAGCAGACTCACCCCCTCATCTGCTTTGCCCTGATCAAGACCGCCTCAAGAACCAGTCAGGCCAGAGCCGGCAGCTTAGCACAGCTCCTCTTCCGTGATACTCCTTCCCGCTGCCTTGGCAACGCGGGGCGGTCATGCGCAGTGGATCGCCGCTCTCGCCGCGCCGCGCCTGACCCCCCACCCCCGCCTTTCTTGGCGCCGGCTGCGCCTGCGCAGATCACTCTAGGTTTGTGACCCGCCGTCTGGGTTTGCTGTACGGCTGCTCCTTGTTAGTGCTATTGAATAAGTACAAAGTCTAATAATCCTTGAGAAAAGGTTGCAAACTGCCTTTACTCAGGGGTCAAGCAAGTATACCTGTGTGAGGCTAACAGGGATAGGCGGCCTCTGACTAATCTGAGAATGTATGCCCCGCCTAAATGCATCCAAATTTAAAACAAAAACAAAAAACCCTGCTGGCCAAAAAGCAGAAGCAGAAACATGTCAGTCAGTCCACCATATAGCCAGAGAACACCTATTTGTACACCATATCTTAGGATAAAAATCTAAATACTAAAGCCATCCTTGAAGACTCCTGCATGACACCTATTTCTCCAGCCTCATTTTGCACAATTTTCTGTGCTCCAGCATCGGGACGACCTTGCAATTTTCCCAAATCACAGTATCTCAGATCTTTCGTTCAAGCAGTTCCCCTCCGACTGGCACGTTAACACCCCTCCTCACTCTTTATATGATTAGTTCCTGCTCCTCCTCCGAGTCCCATTTCCTCAGGAAGGGCTTCATACCCACTTCTGCGCCCAACACTTGACTGTACATCCTTTCTTTCACAGTTTGCAACTATGTGTTTGTATGAATATTTGATAACGCCCTCCGCATCACCTCACTAGCTTAAAAACTCCATGAAGGCAGAAACCAGATCAGTGTTGCCCAGCACTCAGCAGGTGCCTGCCGCATAGAAGGTTCTCGATAAATCTCTGTTGAGTAAATGCGTTGAACGACTATGGAAATAGAAATAAATATTACCTCACACAGGTCCAGTGGATTTTGTGGAATAAGTACTACCAGCTCAAGGAACTCCAATCTTTTTTCTTTGCGAACTCCCCAAATTAGGCTGTTGCTCATGACATAGCCTTTTAAAACAGCCTTTTTACAAACGTGGTAGAGTTTTATTAATAACTATTCTCAGAAATTATAAAATGTTAGCTCTGGAGATTGGCTTTTTCTAGATCTTGATAAATATCTGAGTCTAGGTCTTTGTAAGTATGTGAGATAGCTTCAAGAGAATGGGCTCCCCTTGCTCAGTTCCCTCTGTGTGTGTGTGTGTGTGTGTGTGTGTGTGCGCGCGCGCGCGTGCGCGCGCCTGTGTGGTGTTATTCAAGTCTAGCTGGATATATTTAATGTTATTCCAAAAATGTTCAGTTTGGCAAAGAGTCAAAATCTGAAATGTTCAAAAAGCACTTCTCAAATATGAGCCAGTTTCATATTGAAGATAAAGAGAGTCTAACTTCATTTATTCAACCCAAATTATATTTTATCATATAACGTTAGTCTCTAAAAAGAGGTAGCAAATAATGTGTGGCTAGTTCAAAGTAATTTCCAGCATCTCAAGGGCTCAAGATTTTCATTTTTAATTTTTATTTCAAAAACCTACCTCATTCTCTGAATATTTACACCTAATTCATTATAACACACATTTTCCCCCAAAACATTCAGCAAGGGAGCTATATTTTAAATAATTTATATTCATATGTTCTAATATGCTTAATATTTTTCAAATAACTTTACCCTAGAAGCAGGTAAATTTGGGGGGAATATCCTGTAATTAACCAATTTCTTTGTAATAACCAGCATGACCCAGTAAACGGTTCAACACTCTTACATGTGTGTTATCTAAGGAAGTAAAATAGCTCAGCAGTACTATAACATTATCAAATAAGATTCACGAAGACAGAGGTCAAATTTTAATTTTAAACATAGAAACTATTACTCTTTGTATAAACCTTATACTCTTTACTTTCAACTCTACGTCTATCACAGAATAAAGTTTAAAGGTGACTCTACTTGAAATCCACACTCTTGTTATCTCTTTTCTATAGATGAAATAAAAATAATATTTGCCTACTGTCTTCCTTGTATATGAGAATTATCAGTGTTATGTATGTGAAAAGAAAATCTCAGACCATTCTATAAGCAGTACTGGCAAAAATATGTATTCCATATTGTTAAGAGAGATTGTTAAGAGAACTGTGAATAAGTGTAGTGTCTTACACTAATTTTTTTTTTTAATTAGACCTTTCAAGTGAGAGGGAAAAAAAACCAGGAATGCATAAAGGAGAAAAGGGAGTGTAGAGTTGCAACTTTCTATCTTATCTAAAATCTTTTTATACTATACCAGTGGATACAAATCACTGCTACTCACTATACTGAAAGCAGATTTAATCAAGATTTGCAGGAAAAAAATATATAGTATGACATTTAACATTTTATTGTTTTTATCAGGAAAAAGAAGACCAAAGGATTGACAGAGAGAAAATATTTATAGCCTTCCCGGGAAATTCATAGCAACATTTCAGTGTCTGAATAACTTTGTTACATAATAACTTACTCTTTATTTAGCAAATATTTAGGAACCTTGGAGTAGTTTTTGCAAAACTAAAATTAATTATCTAAAACTAAAAAAAAGTTATCCAGTCAACACTCAAATGTGCAAAGAAAACGCTGCATTTTTATTTCCTGTTATTAATGTAATCATCCTTACAAGTTCTCACCCATTTTGGTAGCTATGGAAAACCATTAACTTGATAATTAATAATATCCTAGACTTTCCCATGTAAAAGTCAGTCTCATTTTGGCAAATATTTAGTCAATGCTAAATTTAACTCCCTAACAGAGCTATTCCTTCCTTCCCAAGATGGTGTCTTCCTAGAAGGATAAACTTTATTATCTTTGGGGCATTTGGTGTATGGGACCCTAACTTTGTGCTGATCCTTTTGCTGGTTTCCACCACTTGCTTGCAGGCAGTCATTGGGCGTGCACTGTTTTCCACCAAGGCACAGTTAGACAGGTTCCTTCTGATACCTAACCAAGTGGACTCGCCTCCTGGTGGGTTAAATCAGACTCTACACCAGTGGAAGTTGTCTCACAAAGTAAAGTGTACTTGCCGCAAATAGGATGCCATGAGGAATCATTTCCAAAGTCGTGGCGTCCCTGAACAAAGGAAAGCAGGAACTTTTATTTGTTTGGGGAATGAATATTCAAAAGGGAGAGGCAGGTATTCGCTTGCGCAGGCTCAGTTGGAGAACATGCTTCCACATAATGAGGCCTAAGCTCCTCCTGGAGAGATCTTTGCATTAAAAATAAGGCAAAGGTCATGGGCATAGCTCTTGTGGTGAGGCTTGGTCAGTTTCAGGATGGCTGGTGGTTACAACTCCTTAACACACAAAAGGAAAAGAAACAACCTGGAAAAACAGTTAATTGCTTCCAAACCCACCTTTGAGTTTCTCAAGGCACCTAGTTGGTGACACTTCCAGAGTCCTGACAAAATCCTAGTGGAACTTGTCAAAACCTCTCCTGGCTATCTTGACACCCACTGGTACTTTGGCTCCCTCCTGGAGGCTGGCTCTGTTTCTTTCAAAAGCATGCTGAGAAGAGGCAGAGAAAATGGTGGATGTGCACACAGCACAGCCTAGAGCCCTCGCCACTGCAACATCTTTCAGGAGACTTCCTCTGGCAAATTTTTCCTCCAGAAATTTCAAGCATCTTGGCATCTCTTAAGGGCTAATGGAATCGCTAGGGTCCTTTATAGACCATTTTGTGGCTGAAGGCTGCCCTACGTGGGGTGGGAGAAGATTGGAGAGAAAGAGACAAATCAGGTACCCCTGTCCTAACCATGCTATGGGACTATTTTTATTGTCCTGTTCTCACTGTCTCTTCCCTCATAGTTCTTAACTGGGAGCAGGGCAAAAGCTCTTCTGCCAGCCTTTCCTCAACAATAAATATGCTTTGCAGCTATGGGGCTTAACCCAGAGAGAGGAGCTCAAAACAAATGAGACTTCCTATCTGATTCCCTTTCTCTCTCGTTTCTCTTTCCTTGGAAGGAGAAGGGCATGCTTTCAACTTCTTCCTGTCTGGCAAGCAATTCGCCTCCTTGCCAAGGTGGCATCTGGCCTGTATCTCTTCCTGGAGCCCTTGTGGTATACAGGGTACCGGGAGGGAATCTAGTTTATGAATAAGGGAAATGAAGTTGACAGATCCTTAAAAAATATTCTTCCCTTTACATAAACTTCACAACACTGTACTTCGTTCTGTGGATCAAGCAAAATGAAACATTATTTCTTCTCCTAAGAGGCTAAGGTAAATATGTCAGGAATTTCACTGTGAGAAACCATTTTTTGTGGAGTAAAGAATCTTATGTCACTCGTGATAAAAAATGATTTCAACTTACAGGGCAGTGGTTGTTCTTCATTTCTTCAAAATGTTTTTACCTCACAAATATCTCAATCTTTCCATTCTTTCTGTGTCTTCAGTTTTATAATTTTTCTGAAATTGATTAATTGCCTTATGAAGAGCTGCCCCCTTTTACTTTAATAGCTATTGTTTTGCAAAGATAATGTATATTTATTGTACTTTAAAAGATAAAGATAAACCACAAATACTGATTTTAAGTAAAAGTTACCTGAATTCTCACCTCCCAAAGATTATACTATAAACACTTATAAAACATTGTATGTTTTTCCTTGAATACTTTTTGTTAATAAAATCTAGATTATTATTAAGTTATGGTTTTATGAACTATTTTCTTCAATTAGTAATAATATGAATACTTTTCCATTCACTTTATAAAAATACTTTTTCAATGTAATCTTAAAGACTGTATTACATTATTTGATCTTTTTTTAACTAGTTGAATTATTTAGACATAAGTTATTTCCTGGTTTTTGCTTCTAAAAATTATTAGAATAAACATTCCTCTAGCTAAATCTTTATAC